GAGGAGGAGGGGAAGGAGGAGGAGGAGGAGGAGGAGGAGGGGGAGGAGGAGGAGGAGGAGGAGGAGGAGGAGGAGGAGGAGGAGGAGGAGGAGGAGGAGGAGGAGGAGGAATCCTGGAGGAGCGCCACGGAGGGAGGCCGCCCGAGGGCGCTGGCACCAGACCCCCGAGAAGGCGAGGGCAGCAGGAGGAGGGAGGGGAGATGAGGGCCCAGAGGTGGGGCGGGAAAGGGCTGAGGGATGCGAGGAAGAAGAGGCAGAGGCAGGAAAGAGAAGCTTAGAAGGAAGGAGGACAGATAGACAATCAAGGAAGCACAGTTTCCAGATGTGCACTGCAGCATGCGCGCCGCGGAGACGACCGCATGACCACGGCGATCCGTGAGCACACGATCTGAACACGTTGCCCCCCCTTTACAACCTGCCGCGGGCAGTTGCACAGTTGGGGGTCTCGGCCAGGAAGAAACAGGAAGAAACACCTGGGGCACCTCGAAGCAGCCTGGCTCTCCCACCAACCATGCCAAGCTATGCGGCGACGACGACGCCCAGCACGTCGCATGCTCGGCCTGGGCCAGCTAACATCGCACATTGTAGGTCACCACCGCGCCCGCTGTCACGCTGAGGCGCGATAGCATGTCGAGCGCTGTCTGGTAGGGCCCCCGTGGCCTTCTACGGGCCCGCCCCCTTCATCACAAAGCGGTGCACGCATCGCCCCCGCGCCCGAAGCTCTCCAGGGACTCTCCGAGGCTTCCATGACAGCCCGGGAAGTCCACCATGGCCGCAAACATGGCCAAAATATCGCCCCAATGCGCGCTCAAGAACCCATCAAGAGCGCCCACTGGGCCTCAATAGGCCTTCACAATCCAAGCCGGAATACGCTCTCTAGGCAGACCTCGAGAAGCCAAAAAAAAAAACTGGCGAAGAACCCAACCCCTTCTCGACGCGAGGCGACTTGAATTACTGGACCGCTCAACGCACAAGAACACGCTGAGGGGTCTGCAGCACCCTGGAACCCTTGGCCAAGAAACGTCCGACCACACCCAGGGTCCCCCATTCGCGCACGCACTCTCACGGTCCGAATCCAGAGCTGAAGCTCAAGTCGACGACGCACGCGTCAAGGAGCAGGAGGACGGGAGCGGGAAGAGGAGGGCGAGGCATCCTGGGAGCACAGAGCTCGCGCGAAGAGCAGCGCCGCCCGCGGCACGTGCGCTATATACAGAGCAGCGCCGTGCCCACGTGCGAGAGGGGCCAGGGCGGCGATGCGCCGAGGGCCGCCGAGGGCCCGAGTGCACCTCGCGGGCGAGAGACAACCGAGGGAAACGTAGGAAATGGGCGACGGAGGAGGAGGAGGCGGCGGCGGCGGAGGAGGAGGAGGAGGAGGAGGAGGAGGAGCGCCCAAGCGACGTCATACTATGAATGCGTGTGGCTCAACATGGGGGGCACGATCCGCGCGGAAGGGTGTGCGAGCATCTGCGCACTGCAAGGCTGGTAGAGCCCCCTCGTGAGGCACAAAACGTGCGGGGGGGCCAGGGGCGTGCCGAGATGGGCGCGGCGGCGCCATGCGGACGCACCCTCCGGTGCCTGGGTGGAGCCCTATGGGAGGCAAGGCAGGAGACGCGTGAGTGGCGTGCCGAAATTGGCGCAGCGGCGCCATGCGAACGCACCCGCTGAGGCTCTAGGTGGAGCTCCATCGGGGGCAAGAAACGCATGAGGGGTGTGCCGAACTGGCCGCGGCGGCGCCATGCGAACGCACCCGCTGGGGACCTCGGTGGAGCTCCCTGCACGAAACGCGTGCGTAGCAAACCGAATCGAACTGAGCGCGGCGCCGCCAAGCGAACGCACCGCCTGGGGCCCTAGGTGGAGCTCCCTGGGGGGGCGAGAGAAGCGGTAGGGATGTGCCGAAATGGGCGAGCCGGCGCCATGCGAACTCACCCATTGGGACCCTAGGTGGAGCTCCCTGGGGGAGCAGGAAACGTGCGAGGGGTGTGCCGAGATAGGCGCGGCGGCGCCATGCGAGCGCAACCAGTGGGGCCCTAAGTGGAGCGCCTTGCGGAGCACGCTCCTAGTGACGAGTGTACCGAAATGGGCGCGGCGGCGCCATGCAAACGCATCCACTGGAGCCCTAGGTGGAACTCCTTCCAGGGAACGTGCGAGGAGTGCTGAAATGAGCGCGGCGGAACCACGCTAACGCATCCACTGAGGCCCCAGGTAGAGCTCCCTGGGGGGGCAGAAAACGCGCGAGGGGTGAGCCGAAATGGCTGCGGCGGCGCCATGCGAACACACCGATTGGGGCCCCAGGAAGGGCTCCCTTGGTGGCAGGTGCGCCAATATGGGCATAGCGGCGCCATGCGAACGCACCAGCTGGGGCCCTAGGTGGAGATCCCCTGGGAGCAGGAAACATGTGGAGGATGGACCGAGATGTGCGCGGCGGCGCCATGCGAAAGCAGCCACTGGGGCACTTGGTAGAGCTCCCCCGGGTGTAGGAAACGCATGAGGTGTGTGCCGAAATGGCCGCGGCGGCGCCGTGCCAACACACTCGCTGGGGACCTCGGTGGAGCTCCCTGCAGAGCAGGACACGTGTGGGGGGGGGTAGAGAAATGGCTGCGGCGGCGCCATGCGAACACACGCCCACTGGGGCCCCAGGTGGAGCTTCCTGTGGGGCACGAAAAGTGCGAGGGGCGTGACAAAACGAAACGCGTGAGAGGCGTGCCGAAATTGGCCGGGGCAGGAAGAGGAGAAGGAGGAGGAGGAGGAGGAGGAACAGGAGAGAAAGGGAAGGGGGGAGGAGGAGGAAGAGGAGGAGGAGGAGGAGGAGGAAGAAGAAGACAAGACAAAACAAGGCATCGCAGTGGAGCTCCAGGTCGGGATCAGCGCGGGATCGACAAGCTCTGCGCGCTGCTTATAAAGCTTGACCTCGCTAGAAGCACGGGTGTCTTTTCGGGAGCCACCCGTGCCGTCCCATACCAGACGCCCCCAAAAAAGGGCGCGCAGCCAAGGGGGGCCCAGCTCAGAGGACCAACATAAACTCTCCGCGGCACCTTCTCGGACACACCTTCTAGGTCGAGCACGGTCTTCTCGGCCGATGCTTCAGATGGGGGGGGATTCGGAAGAAGTTTGGGAGTGTCCGAGGTGCGAATTAAGACATGGGTTCCCACCCTTCCCACCGTCCCCGTCCCCCACGACCCTTTCGCTTTCCGCGCGCTTCGGTCCAAGATCGACACACTTGCGAACTTCACGACGGCCTACAAGGGCTCGCCGACAGCGCCACAAGGGCCTCATGATGATGATGACTTAGCTTAAGCAGGCGTCTACGCATTAGCTGGGCAAAATAACTCAGATGTGCTCGAAACCAATGGATGTTCAATCGGTTTCTGTGTGTATATGAGCACTTGATGTGGATTGTAGCCATTGTGCTGCCATGTCTTCCCATAGTTCCCCCTGCCTTGCATACTGCTGCCAGTTGGGCCCCCAACGTCGCGAGAATAACTGTTCTCATCTCCACACGTGGAACCGACGGTAATGACACTGGTGCCCATACAGCTGCGTCACGCGCTGGAGATAAGCTGCTCCTCGGTACTGTAACGCTTTACCCACCAGCCGTGCCAAAGCTCGTGCTGTAATGCGCGCAACATGACCGGCCCAACGGTATGCTCGCAACAGGGCTTCCTCGTCCCATCTGTGCCAGGAGCCCCTCTGTCGGTACCTCTTGAGCTTCTGGGCTGAGATGGCCATGTAATCTTCGACGTCCGCGTGCGGGTCTATGAAGTAAGACAAACGGTACCCGACAAATCGGCGCATCATCTTCTGCTCCACTCCACGTAGACGTGACAAATGTTTCTTGGACAAATGGCAAGTACCGATGTTGTCTAACAACGCCGGCAATACTAACGTGCGCAACTTGCCAAGCCGCTTCATGACCGGAGCGGACCTGCACAGGAGCAATTTGGAATGTTTGTGGAATGCGGCCCACGCCCGGGCGATACGGTAATCGATCTCCGCCGTGCAGTCGCGGGAACAAGCAATCATACTGCCCAGAATCTTCATCGTTGTATCCCGTGCCTTGAAAGGCACTGGCACTGTAGGTGATGTCGTCGGAGTCGAAAATATGTCGGGCTAGATGTTCGGGACAACAATGCCCGTCGGCGGGGGCGTGCGACTGGTGGATGACCACGAACACGCCGCAACGTCAGTGCCTAGACCGGCCCGGTCCAATAACGCACACAGTTTCGAAAACATCGCCTGTAACTGCCTGCGGGAGTCTGCTAATAACCAGAAGTTGTCTGCGAAGAATATCAAAGATAAGCGTTCTGTCTCGGTTCTTGCCTGCTTGATGGGGCGCTGGGTCACGCTCGCCTCCAACACTGCGAGATCTTCATGAGAGAGCTCTACGCCCCAACCCTGTGCTTCAGCATGCCGAACAAATGGCGATATGACCTCCGTCTCTAGCATCAAGTTGAAGTTATGAGGTGCCTGGGGGTCTCCCTGGAACATAGACCTTGTTCTGCGGATGACGTCCCCCGGCGGTAGTCCAGGCAACTTCACCACCCCTGCGCTCCGTCGAACCTCCCGGATATATGCTGCTGTGATGAAGCGTGGTACTCCACGCTTCTCGAATGATCTCGCCCACGCCGCGTGGTCTACACAATCGTAGGCTTTGAAAACGTCGCCATCCAGCAAAAGCACGTCCCTGTCGAATTCGATCGCTTTCTCGATCACCTGCCGGAGCACAAACTGGACCTCCGCAGCTTGGTAACCACCCCTGAAGGCAAATTGATGTTCGGAAAGAGGTTGCTCTGCCAGACCTCCAGTATCAGCCAAGGCCATGCTGTACAATTTCGCCATCACCGACAAGATCGCGATAGGCCGCCACAAGGGCCTCATAGGCCGCCCAGGACGGCCCCAAGAGAGCTGAACGTTCGCCCAAGAGGGCCTCCAGATTACAGGACGGCCCCGTGACGACCCAAGACGGCACCAAGACCGCCCAACGACGGCCCCAAGAGATCCCCTGGACGGACAAGACGGCCCAAGAGGGCCCAAGAGGGCCCACGAGAGCCCCAAGATGGCCCAAGAAGGCCCCAAGACGGCCCAAGAGGGCCCAAATGGAGCCCAAGGGGAGCCCCACAGGAGCCCTAAACAGCCCCAGGCGGCCCAGATAAGCCCTATGAGAAAGCTCCTAAAAGAAGTCGAGACAAGAGGAGCCACATGTGACAGTTTGCGGGCGTTTCAAGGGTCAGTACATTGTATGCTTCGACGACACGGTGGCGGATTTGCCGCGAGCCCAAGAATTCTGGAAAGATCTCGGCAGCGAGACTAAATGATTGGCCCGTTCGGCAGCCAACTCGATGCTCTAAGGAAGAGGGTATCGGGAGCGCGGCAGTCCACCAAGGCGTTGGCGGCAGTGAACTGTTTTCAAGCAGCTTGAGCCAGTGTGCCAGGAGAGGATGAGGAGGAGCAGAGGGGGGAGCGGGAGCAACAACAGCTCCAGGACCTCGGCTGGGGCCCCCGCCACTACCCCCACACCTCCAGGCCGCTGGGTCCTGTAGCCTCTCCCCCAGCTCGTCTGTGGAGGTCGGCACCTGCGACGGCAGATCCTCTCCCCTCCCGCTCCCTGTTCCCCTCCCATGCTGGAGGTCGGCTCCGAACCCCTCTTTTCTCTGAGCTTTCCACTCCCCCCCCTCTCGCACAGCTACCGCCTTCCACTCGCCCCCCCTCCTCCTCTTCTTCCTCCTCCTTCTCATCCTCCTCCTCCACCTCCACCCCCTCCTCCTCCTCCTCCTCCTCCTCCTCCTCCTCCTCCTCCTCCTCCTCAGCAGCAGCAGCAGCAGCAGAATATTCATCGTCATCATCATCATCATCATCATCATCATCATCATCATCATCATCATCATCATCATCATCATCATCATAATCTCATCATCATCATCACATCATCATCATCATCATCATCATCATCATCATCAGCATCATCATCAGCATCATCATCTCATCATCATCATCATCATCATCATCATCATCATCATCATCATCATCATCACATCATCATCACATCATCATCATCATCATCATCATCATCATCAGTATCATCATCATCATCAGCATCATCAGCATCATCAGCATCATCATCATCAATCATCATCAATCATAAATCATCATCATCATCATAATAATCATCATCATCATCATCACCAGCAGCAGCAACAGCATCATCATCATCAGCATCATCCTCATCCTAAGCCTCATCACCATCATCAGCAGCAGCAGCATCATCATTGTCATCATCCTCATCCTCATCCTCATCATCATCATCATAATCATCATCATCAGTAGCAGCAGCAGCATCATCACCACCACCACCATCATCACCATCACCACCACCACCACCACCATCATCATAATCAGCACCGTCATCAGCATCATCATCAGCATCAGCATCATCATCGACATCATCATCATCATCATCATCATCATCATCATCATCATCATCATCATCATCATCATCATCATCATCATCATTTTCATCATCATCATCAGCAGCAGCATCATCATCATCATCATCATCATCATCATCAGCATCATCATCAATCACCATCAATCATCATCATAATCATCATCAGCATCATCAGAAGCAGCAACAGCATCATCATCATCATCATCATCAGCATCATCATCATCAGCATCATCATCATCATCATCATCATCATCCTCATTAAAATCATCATCAACAGCATCATCATCATCATCAGTGTCAGCATCCTCATCCTCATCATCATCATCATCATCACCACCATCATCATCATCATCATCATCATCATCATCATCAGTAGCAGCAGCAGCATCATCATCACCACCACCACCATCATCACCATCAGCACCACCACCACCACCACCACCATCATCATCATCATCAGCACCATCATCATCAGCATCATCATCAGCATCATCGTCATCAGCATCAGCATCATCATCGACATCATCATCATCATCATCATCATCATCATCATCATCATCATCATCATCATCATCATCATCATCATCATCATCATCATCATCATCATCCTGCGCCCAGCCCCGTCCCCTCCCGCGAACCCACTCTCACCCTGAACCCTTCCTCCCCCTGTCTCCCCTCCGCATCCCCACTCCCGGAACCTCCTCTCACCCTCGATCATCCCTTGCCACCCTCTGCCATCTATGCGCCCCCCCTTCCGCATACCACCGTCCCCTCCTCTCTGGAGGTATTCGGAAGTCTCTGGAGGTATATGGAGGCTCCAAGAGGCTCCCAGAGAGGCATAAAAAGAAATGCAAAACACGCCCAACAAACTCGATGCTAGATCCCTCCTCTACCCCTGCCTCACTCCCCCTCCTCTCCTCCCCCCTCCCCCCGCACAAGCGGCGAACGTATCCACATCCACGCCGTCGCGGCTTGGATTCCAGCGCGAGATCCCGTCGCGTGGATACGCGGTCACATGGATACGTTCCGCGAGGGGCCTCCGCGAAGAACGCCCCCAGGGCCCCGGCCCACGAGGCCGTGGATACGGAGATGTTTCCTGCCCACGACCCACCCCCCGCTTTCCCCCTTCCACAGGTCTCCCGCAAACATCCTGAGGCAACCAGGACCGAGCGCGAGGCGCATGCTACCCGGAGTGGACTCTGCTGGCGACCAGGTGTCCCCCGACCGCAGTCCTCTGAGCCGGCGAGCAGGAGGGAAAGGAACTAAAAAACGGGGAGGGGCGTGGGGGAGGGGGGACGGGAGGAGGAGGCGGGCAGGCTAGGTGCGCTCCCGCCACCTCTGACATCCTGCCCCTCCCGCCCATCCCTTTCGATTGCGCCGACTGTTTCTCCATCCGCCGAGGCGGGTCGCAGCGGACCTGGAATTCCAAAAAGGGCCCCCCATCGTGGTATGCGCAATCGGAAGAAGGGAGCTGCGTACATTTGAGGAGGTGGCGGATGAATAGGAGGATGAGCAGGAGGGAAAGGTGTAGGATGAAGGAGGAAGACGAGGACGACCAGCAGCAGCAGGAGCTGGGAACTGGATTGGTAGGGGCGGGAGGAGCACGAGGAGCACAAGGACCACGGGAAGGCGGAGCGATGCGGAAGGATTCGGATGCAGAAAAGTGGCCCGCGCTGGAGCGAGAATGCCGTTCTGAACAACGGGAGGAAAATGCTGGTCCTAGACTGAGGCCCGCGCCAGGGCGGCAGCAGCATTTTGAAGGACCGAGAAAAAGCGTATTGTGAAGAGAACGGATGCCGGTTGTTGAAATCTTGTACAAGAAACCATACGCGGAAAGGGCGGAACAGCTGCCGCGGAGAGGGGGGGGAGTAGTATTCCTACTGAGTGAGTATCGAGGGGATGCGGGAGGGGGAACTGGAGCGATGGGGGAGAAGGGGGGCGAAGGAGGAGAGCGAGAAAGGAGGGGAATGAGAGGGGGGCAGGAATAGGAGGAGGAAGGAGAAGGCGGGGAGGCTGGGGACGGGGCGGTGAACAGAGAGGAGGGGCAAGAGAGAAAGAGAGAGGGTGGGACGAGACGGAGGGGTGGAGGGGAACGGGAGCCTTGCAGGGGGTGGGCCGACCCCAAGGCCGAGCAAGGTGGGGAGCACCACGACGGCATCGTCGCCGCCGCCGAAGAGTCCGTCCCTGCCCGCGCGTTCGCGTCCGCCGTTTCCCGTGTCGCTCCGTCCCTGGCGGCTGCTGCCGTGATCTGCCTGGGCTGCCTCAGCTGCCTCCTCTGTTGCGGGGGCGGGGGGGTGATAGGGGGGGATAGGGACGGGATAGGCACAAGAGGGATAGGGAGATAAGAGGCAGCGGGGGGACAGAGTGGATAAAGGGGTGGGGGATAGGAAGGATGAGATAACTAGGGGGTGATATGCCCGAAGTTGCAGCTCTCGTGCCCGGACTCGTGCGGCCTCCGAACCTCGTGGTTCGCACAGACTACCCCCGCGCGCGGCAACGCGATGCATTCTCTCATCCTTCAGACTCTCCAGGAATATGTTGCATGATGATGCCAGGTAACGCAGCTACAGCCAACACAGAGATACGAAACATGCTGTCTGCAACGTACATGCCAAGCATAACGTCGTCCTCCAGCGCAGCTATGGAAAGAATATAATACTTCAGGTCCCTCATTCCCCCCTCCTCCTCCTCCTCAGAATTTCGTTTCAGCTTGCGGTGACCTTTCTGTTTCCCCCAGAGGGAGCCTCCTCATCCTCCTGCCCCTCGTCACCCTCACCTTTCGTCCCTAAGAAGCCTCTGCCTGCTCTTGTTTGCCCTCCGAAGTTTCCCCCTCCTCCTCCTCCTCCTCCTCCTCCTCCTCCTCCTCCCCCTCCTCCTCCTCCTCCTCCTCCTCCTCCTCCTCCTCCTCCTCCTCCTCCTCCTCCTCCTCCTGCTCCTCCTCCTCTCATCCTCCTCCTCCTCCTCCTCCTCCTCCTCCCTCCTCCTCCTCTCCCCCTCCTCCTCCCCCCCTCCCCCTCCTCCTCCTCCTCCTCCTCCTCCTCCTCCTCCTCCTCCTCCTCCTCCTCCTCCTTCTCCTCCTGCTCCTCCTCCTCACCCCCTCCTCCTCCTCCTCCTCCTCCTCCTCCTTCTCCTCCTACTCCTCCTCCTTCTCCTCCTCCTCCCCGCCTGCTGCATCCCGCCCCGCCCTCCACGGCATGGCCGCCCTCGGCGTCGCCGCGGGCCGCCTGCGGCAGCGCCGCGCTCTCGGAGGGCGGCGGGGGAGGTCCGCGAAGGGGCGGCAGGGGCGACGCCGCCGCGCCTCCCCGCCAGCCCCCGTCTGCCCTCCCCCCGCTCTCGCCTCCCCGCTCTCGCCTCCCACTCTTAGGGCGACGAGACTTATACAGAAACACTGCTCCCTGGGCACGCCCATCCTGACCCCGGCAGCGGTACGCCACGCCCTCCTGGAGGGCGATTTCACAGCTGCTGGGTTCAGGATGGGCCACGGAGCAGTGGAAAGGTATAGATCTCGTCGTCCTTTATTTTGCTGCATAGAACTGATGGGCTCCCCCTCCCCCGCTTCCCTTGACCCCCTTCACCAGAGGGCAGAAAATCCGCCCTTAGGCTCACACGCTAATCAGTCCAATGGCTACCTCACCGTACCCGTGAGGTGGACCCCGAAGTCCTGCCTTTTCTGGGATAGGCAGCGCCCGGGGCCCGTCTGAGCCTCTTGTGGGCAACGGCAACCAATGTCGGGGGCATGCGGTGATTAGAGGATGGCAGCCGCCGCAAGGGCGCCGGCATGATGGATGGGGTACTCGACGATCACGGTGATTGGCACCGAGGTCCACGCAGTGCCTGCAAGCCTTGAAACATGCACACTGCACCTACGTGCATGCGCACAGTATGACTTGCAAGCGCTATCTGCTGTGCTGACATCTGCCAACCAATACCTCGGACAACTACCGAAAATATGAGTGATGGGAACGTTGCTCCCATGCTCCTTGACATGAGTCATGGAGGCTCCACTCCTGTAAGTCTCTACCCAGCAGGCGTCCGTAACAGGGGCGTCTCACGACGGCCTACTAGACGCACAATAAGAGCCACCACTCGCCTTCCAGGCAGCACTCTCGGTGGAGAGCGGGGCCGACGCGGCCGCGCACTAGATCCACACGAAACGTCTCAAGCTTCAAGGCATCGCAGTGCTGGAGGGCCCACCACCCACCACTCGGCGCGGGGACCGCTCGGCGGGGGGGTCCCTCCGTCGAGGGGGGCCTGGAAAGCGCTGGCCGCTCCCTGGCTGGCGGCATGGGGGCTCCACCATGGCAACTGGATGAAGAAGAGGGGCAGCTTCAGCTCGCCTGGTCCCCCTCAGAAATGATCGTCGGTCAGGCGGCAGTCGGGTGCATGACAGCCACCGAACTCGGCACGAGCCAGCAGCGGAGAGGCAGTGATGGCGCCAGCGCCACTCGGCCGCATGGACCCTGTGCATCACACCGAGAGTGGGCCTTCGCCCCCCCAAGCCCTCCCCGTGCACCTCGCCATGGCTGGCACCAGCTGAATGGAGCGGGAGGTCTGATGGCTGGATAGGCGGATTCACGGGGTGTGTGGCTGGATGGACGAGCAAGAAGGAACAGACGGCAGAGCCGACCAGAGCATGGGACTGGATCCTGAGGCTGACACGCCCGAGCCGACCAAAGCGCACACGGCCCCCGGAGCCGCACAGAGAACCAAGTCGGTCCCGCCGCGACGAACGTCCAGGGCCGCGCGACGCCACAGGGTAATTACAGACACCATGCGCGAAGTTGTGATCTGCGCGTCCGCCACCAGACCCGAGAGGATCCGTCTCCCAGCGGGCCAGCTCTCCAGAGAGCGCGGCCACCGCGTTCTGGCTGCAGGCAGGCCGCGAAGCTTGCAGGACGGCCGAGGGCTCCGTCGGCGCTCGCAGCCCACAGGCCACACCCAGTGCGTGGACTCGCGCAGCCCGGCTTGCGAGGCGAAGGGAACAGCGGCACTCCTCCGCCACTCGAGACCACGTGGACGAGACAACCATGCCGGCCCGTGGAGCACGGCTGGCCACTAATTACTTGGGCTTCTCGCGCACCACGGACGGACCAGGGCTATGGACTGGGCATGGGGACGCTGGACCGCGGGCGCATAGCCCGCCTCGGGGAGGGCCGCGCTCGCTTCGATGCACACGCGCCTGGCTTCACGGCGGGGCTGCGCGCCCAGTGCAAAAGTCGTCAGGGCTTCGCACCCGCGGCGCAGATCAACGTAGACCCCGCGCCACTGGTGAGGAGGGCCAAGAAGTGGATGGAAATGAAGAAGCCAACCACGGGCCCCGACGTGACCGCGCAAGGGAAAGAGGAGAGCCTGATCTTCCACGGGCATAAAAACAGGCCTCGACATAGAAGAACGGCGCTGCACCACGAGTGCAGGAAGCCCATTGGCAACGCCATCGGCGAGAGAGCTCTCCGGAAAGTTTGGGGAATGGCTCGCTCATGCCGGCGCGATCGGTACCCGTGCTGGGTAGATGGAAAGGCGGTGCACAGACGGGATGCACGACTTGATGCACAGCAAGAAGGAGGAGGAGGACAGGCAGATGCACAGAGATGAAAAGACAGAGGGGCAGACGCAGAGAGGTGAATGGATGGATGCGATGCGAGGAGGTCGACCGCACTCGAGGCCCATCCGCCTCCCGGCGGGCTGCACTCCCAAACCCCCCGACGTCACGATGCTTCCCCAAACGGCTTGCTGACCAGGGTGCTGTCGTGGAAGAAGCCAACTGCGGCCGCGGGATCAAGGGGAGCAAAGACGTCCTCAAAAAACCTGGTGGTCTGGGCCGTTGCGCTGGAGATATCCTCAAAACCACTGAGATCCGACGTAACCAAAAAATTGCAACATCGTACAAAATCACGCCCGGAACACCAAACCCCATCTTTCCGCGTCATTTGTCGAGCCGGATCCATCTGTGAGGCTCCTGGGGCCCTAAAAAAGGCGACAACGCCCAGCACGAAAAAATTGCGACCCAAGATATCAGGGACTGCCGTTCCTGAGTTGTCCGGGATTGGCCGTTTCGCCTGAGACAGGATCGGAAATCTGGGCTCCGGGGTGCCGCGCGCGAGGTGGTCCAGGCCGTTTCGCCGGAGACAGCCTGGCAACTCTGCGCTCCGAGCTGCCGCGCGCGAGGTGGTGCGGCGCGCTTCGCTTGAGACATCCTCGAAACTCTGGCCTCCGAGATGCCGCGCGCGAGGTGGTGTGGCACGTTACGCCTGAGACATCCTCAGAACTCTGAGCTCCCAAATGTCGCACGCGAGGTGGTCCAGCTCGTTTTACCTGAGACATCCTCGCAACTCTGCGCTCCGAGCTGCCGCGCACGAAGTGGTGCGGTGCGTTTCGCTTGAGACATCCTCGCAACTCTGAGCTCCAAGCTGCCGCGCGAGAGGTAGTCTTGCGCCTTTCGCTTGAGACGTCCTCGCACCCCTTAGCTCCGAGATGCTACGCGAGAGGTGGTCCAGCTTGTTTCGCATGAGACATCCTTGCAACTCTGGGCTCTCAGAAAATATGCGCGAGGTGTTCTGGCGCGTTTCGGCTTGAGAGATCCTTGCAATTCGGGTCCCCGAGATGCCGCGCCAGAGGTGGTCTGACCCGCTCCGCAGAAAAACATCCTCGGAGCTCTGGGTTCCGATAAAGAGGAGAGAAGAACGAGGAGGGGCCAGACCCAAACGAACCATAGGATTACACGTATGTTGCCGAGTTTTGCCTTGGAAGAAGGCTGGGCGCCGCCTGAAACATCCGTGGAACTATGAGCTCCCAGATGTCGCACGCGAAGTGGTCCAGCCCGTTTCGCCTGAAACATTCTCACAACTCGGGGCGTCCATCCTCGAAACTTTGGGCTCCGAGACAGAGGAGGAGGAGGAGGAGGAGGAGGAGGAGGAGGAGGAGGAGGAGGAGGAGGAGGAGGAGGAGGAGGAGGAGGAGGAGGAGTCAGACCCTGACGAATCATGTGATTTCACATGTGTTGCCGAATTGTGCTCCGAGAGGGGTCTGGGCGCCGCCTGATACATCCTCGGAACTCTGAGCTCCCAGATGTCGCACGCGAGGTGGTCCAACCCTTTTCGCCTGAGACGTCCTCGCAATTCGGGGCTTCGAGATGCTGCGCGCGAGGTGGTCTCGCGCGCCTCGCTTGCGACATCCTTACAATTGGGCTCCGAGATGCCGCGCCAGAGGTGGCCTGGCCCGTTTCGCTTGAAACGTCCTCGGAACTCTGGGCTCCGAGAGGGAGGAGAGAGGAGCGAGGAGAGATCTGACCGAAACGAACCATGTGATTACGCTTATGTTGTCCAGTTGGGTGATTACTTGGTGAATTGCAAGGGTTGGTCAGGGGGAGCCATGCTGAAGTAAATCGTGGCGATGCCTCGACTACTACAGCGCGGAGGGCAGGGAGGAGGCAGGATAAGGGAGGAGAAAGGGAAGAGGAACGAGCTCCGAGATGCTGCGCGAGAGGAGTAATGGAGGAGGGAGACGGGACCAGGTTCAAACGCGACCTGTTTGATGGTATCCCTGACAAGGGTGCCTCCTGGAAGCGACATCGAGACGAGAGTGCAAAGGCATCCCTGGAATGGCGGAAGCGGAGAAGAGGAGGGAAAAGGAGGAAGAGGAGAATGACGAGGAGGAGGAGGAGGAAAAGGAGGAGGAGGAGGAATAGAACGGAGAGGAGGAGGAGGAGGAGGAGGAAGACGACGAGGGGGAGGAGGAGGAGGAGGAGGAGGAGGAGGAGGAGGAGGAGGAGGAGGAGGAGGAGGAGGCGGCGGAATGCGAGGTCGAGGACGAGGAGGAGCATTCCGAGGAGGAGGCGGAGGAGGAGGAAGAGGAGAAAGAGGAGGAGGAGGACGAGGAGGAGGAGGATCAGGGGGATCAGGAGGAGGAGTAGGATGAGGATCGGGAGGAAGAGAGAAGGGGATGATGATGATGATGATGATGATGATGATGATGATGATGATGATGATGAGGAGGAGGAGGAGGAGGAGGGAGGAGGAGGAGGAGGAGGAGGAGGAGGAGGAGGAGGAGGTGTAGTGGAAGGGGGAGGGCGAGAGCGAGAAGGAGAGTTACGTGAATGCGGGGGAGGAGGACGACGACGACGACGATCACGAAAGCCAGACGACGAAGCCGAAAGAGCAGGCGGATCAGAAGCAGGAGAGCGCGCGAACACTCTTAGGAGCCACCTTGGCTCAACAACGCTGTTTGGGGATACAGGACTCTGGCCAGAACTGTCACAACGTCAACCCTCGCAGCTCTGGACACCTTCCCCAGGACCCGCGTCTCATCCTGCGCCCTTGTCTGACAGCCCCGGGGCCCGGCAAGGGCCCCCGGAGGCCGAAGACAGTGAAAAGCCCCCCGCCGTGAGTTGCTCATGACCCCCGAGGGGGGGGGGGCTGCACTCGAGGCTCACCCCCACACCGTGCCGCCGCGCGAACCCCCCCCCCCGACGGGCCGCCGTCGGCCGCGCAAAGGAGGCGCCGAACGGCGCCGCGCACGGTCGCGCGCGCCGAAGGCACTCTGGAAGTGCCTTCGGGGCGGCTTAGGGGTGACCAAAAAACAGTCTGGAAGTGCTTTCGGGGCGGCGCAGGGAAGAGACGGGGACGGGCGCGGGGGAAGGGGGGAGCGGCGATGGGCGGGCTCCCGCGGCAGTGCCCCGCCCGGGCCTCCGCGGGTGCCGCAGCGGCGCCAGGAGGGCCCGCACGGCGCCGCCGCCTGCGGAGGGGGGCGGGAGGGGCAGGAGGGCGACTGGCTGCGGCAGGCTCGGGCCGCGACGGTCCCGGCGGGGGCTTCTGTAGGGGGCCACATGCGAACCCTACCCCTGCCCCCCACGATTTCTGAGGGGGAGGGGGGGGGTTCACTCCGCTCGGGAGCTCCCGAGCGGAGTGAACCCCACCCTCCCCCTCAGAAATCGTGGGGGGCAGGGGTAGGCTTCGCATGTGGCCCCCTATTCTGGTCCGGCGTGGATCGTCTGGCCTCGAGCCATCAGCAGCTCCTCGGTCGCCAGATCGCTCCATGCCTGGCTGCTGCCGGGCCGCCGCCGGCGTTCCACCTGGAGCGCCCGCGGCGGGGTCGCCGCCAGCGTTCGACACCGCGCGAGCTTGCCGTAGCCGAGCACTGCCGTCCTCGTGGGGAGGGGAGAGGGCAGAAGACGAGACTCACTGTCTGGCAGGAGCCACTGGGAGGAGGAAACTGGCAGGCGCCGCTATGGGGAAGGGTATCGTTCCTCCCCCCTCCACAATCCCTCTTTTTTATAGACAGCTCCCCCCCTGTCGCATGCCAAGACGTGTCCTCAGGGCGGAGCGGGCATGTCGCCCGATACTTCTTCACACTTTACGATCCTGAGCCTTGCAAATTGCAACAGCCACAAGCATGGACGGGCGTCGTTTTTAGAAAAAGGTACTTACCTCAGCGCCGCGCACGTCCGTCGCAGCAAATCGTGGCACTTACATGGATGGACTGCGGTTCTGTTTCGACCTTTGGACTCACGCCTTAGCGCCTCGCACGGCCCTCTTGAAATCCTGCAGCCAGCCGCTAACAAGGGTGTGGGGCGGTTTTTCTTTCGACAATGGGACTCTTGCGCCAGCGCCGCCCGCATTCGCTTTTAAACACTTGCCGCAAAACCCAGGATGGCCCATGGCGGGCGGCTCCTTTTGTGGGCGAGCACCGACATATGTACATGTACGCCCTCCGCGGTCTTGCCTGCACGAACGTTCGCGTTGACACGCACTCCAGGGGAAGCTAACCGCGTACGTGTACATATGTTGCTGGCCTCTGATTTTGGACACCTTGCCCTCGCTTGAAGCCTCTCTTCCTCAAACGAACTGCGGGCCGTCCGCATGAAACAACTGCACGAAGGGAGACCGACCGGCGCCCTTTCGAACACTGGATCTCGATGGAGCCCTCCTCAAATCCGCTGGCCCCACCGGAGCGGTCACCAGGCTGCAAGTTTCTGATCGCTGGAGGCAGTCCTCAGTCCCTGGATCCCTGTGCCAGTTCCAATGCGAATGCACTGTTCCGAAGCTTCAAATGTTACAGATCATGGCTCCTCGCTCCAAGGTCAGAACGAGACGCGCTCTCAAATATCTTCTTGCAAATGCTCCGTGGCGGGCGCTTTCTGGCAACACAACTGGGGTAACGGTATGCTAAAAAGGATTGTTGTACTATCTGATCTGGTCGGACGCACGCCTCCGAGGAGAACACATAGCACCAGTGCGTCCTGCTGCTAGCAGGGCACCGATGAGGCGCAGAAGGGCATAGCAGTACTGGCGCCGGGCTCGGACGTGCGCCCCTCTTTGCGGCGCACGTCCGAACCGAGAGTGTAGCACAGGAGAAGTAGGAGGAGGAGAAAGAGGAGGAGGAGGAGGAGGAGGAGGAGGAGGAGGAGGAGGAGGAGGGGGAGGAGGAGCAGGAGGAGGACGAGGAGGAGGAGGAGGAGGAGATCCCGTAGCAGAGCGTTGCCCAGGCGGTGTGGCCAGCAAGCGCCCGCCACCGAGCATAGTCATATGCTGCAGGATTGCCGAGGGCGCGCGTCGCCCCTGGGGGAAGCAGCGCACACACACACACACACACACACACACACACACACACACACACACACACACACACAAACACACACACACACACATCGTGTATGTATATATACATATATATATATATATATATATGTATATATATGTGTGTATATAGAGATATACAAGCATAACGATGTCTGGGCGATATCGAACCGAGGCCGCCACCAGGCGCGGCTTGCGGCTGGGGTCGGAGCGGCAGCTTCGTGACACGCCTCCGGCCGCGACGCTGCCCCGCGGCCGCCGCAGCCCCCGCGCGTCCTGCGGGCGTCGCTCCTCGACCGCCTGCCCGTTGCGGTTGGAGCGGATGCGGCTGCGTCGTGCGGCCCCGTGACGCTGCGAGGGTCCGAGGGCGAGGCGAGCAGGCTCGAGGTGCGGGTGGCCTCTGGCCGGCCAACAGAGGGCCCCGAACTCTTTGGGGGGGGGGGCCATAAGTCAGGAGGGCCGGGAGCATCAGGGATAGGGGGTCTCTGCAGGTTTTTCGGGCCAAACCACCCGGATTTACGATCCCCGCTGCGAGGACAGGGGCCCAGGTGAGGCCACGTCTTAATCATGGAACTAAGGTTAGAGGTTCATTTGTTCTCGATGAGTCTGGAGCAACGCTGGGGTCGAGCTGACGGTGCTGCTGAGCGGGCTGAGCTGGAAGTGTCGCTGGCGACATGATGGTGCCCCTGCGTCAACGGATGCGCGCCACCCCCCCGTCTCCAGAGCGGAGCCGTCGAACACGCGGGGGCGTGGTGCAGTGAGCTGCACCCAGGCGCCCAAGTGGTGCCTTTGCATCCGCGGGGCACGGCCTGGCACGAAGGGGCGCTACTGTACCTTCGGGCGCCTCAGGGAGGCATCCTGGCAGGTAGTTTCGGGCTGCCCAGGGAAGCGTCCTGGTAGGTCCCGTCGGGCGCCTCAGGGGAACGTCATGGCAGGTACCCATCGGGCGGTACCAATTGGTGGGTGCTGACGCCCTATGGGGACGTCTGCGGAGGGCGTCGCTGAGGCCATTGGCGATGGCTGTTCGAGGGCCTCCCAATGCGCGCTGGACGCCTTCCTCTCCGCGCCTGCGGCGAAGTCTTTCCACAGGTTCAGGGAGCATGTCGACGCCGTGCGCTTCCGGAGGAGGGCAGGCCCCCCCAGACAGCCCCAAGGGCGGCCAATAGGGCCTCCGCAGAGACGCCCCCTGAATGGCATCCGAAAGCGCCGGACGCCCCAAAAGCGCCCTGAGACGGCCCGAGAGTGCCACAAGACGGCCCCTGAGGGCCCCAGGCGACCCCCAAAAAGGTCCAAAGGCCTGCCCGGAGCGCCCCAAACCAAACCAAGAAGGTCCCAGAGAGCCCTCTCCCCAGTGTTCTCCCAATGATTTCCCGAAAGTTTGGGATATTCCGCAGTCCACTAACATGGCTGGACATTCGGCCTACATCTCACAACACAAGCGGTTCCAACAGGCAAAGAGCGGTTGTGACTCGCCGAAGGCGTTTTCGCTAAGGCGACACAAGAAGGCAACACAACGGATACAACATCATGCGGGCATATGAGAATCGACAATGGTAACGTGGAAAAAAAAAACAGACGGACTTAGGCCAGAAATACATCCTTCGAGAACATAAGACTCTCCGTCAGCCAACACACACACACACACACAAAACACACACACACACACGCACAAGAAAACCAGCAAACACAAAGAACATGGGGGCACCCTCCCCGAACCGACCTCGATCCTATACCTCGGTCCGACCGAACAAGCAGACAGTGCGCGCGCAGCTGCTAGCACAGAACTGGCCAACAACTATACATACAGAAAAGTAACACGCACTAGAAAGAAAAAGAAAATATACGGTCGGAATGCAGCATCAGCTGACGAATTTTTGCCGGGAGGGGGTAAAGCGCGATCGCCGATCATTACGGCATGCCTGCTCCATGCGCGACACAGAGGATAGCCAAGCAAGCATGGGCCGGCCCCACCTGGTTTCGCCGTTTGGGAACCTCCCAACCCTACTCCACTCGGGAGGTCGCCACCTGAACACCGACACCGATCCTGTCCAGGCCGATCCTGAGCGCAGGAGTGGCCTGGACAGGATCGGCGACGGCGAGAGCTGGCATCCCCCCGATCCTGGAGAAACATTCACCCCAGCAAAGCATCCCAACAGCATCAGCTAAGGTGTGGAGGCGGATCAACGCCTGAAACCTCGGTTTGCGAGGACGACCTCATCAGATTGTCGATACGATTACGGAGTTGAACTTGCTGATGCGGGTGACGTTCGTGATGTCGACATGGTGACACGAACGCGCCTGGAACAGCATTAGGGACCGAGCGACTCCACTCCTGGCAGGTGGAACGGTGAGAAGCAAAACTGCATGAGCATACACTTTCTGAGGTCCACGCGGATATCTTGGGGCGCCAGACCTTCCTGGCAGCCCCCTGCGCCACCCGTGCGCGAAGCGCGCCAGGGACGTGGGTCAAGCGCCGATCCGAGAAATCCAGGCGGACCTTCACGAGCTCATGCTTGTGCATCTTTCTCTGCTTCGAGATACTCAGCCCATGCCCCGGGACTGGCTCTTCATCCTGAATACTTTTCTCGACGTTCCATGAGACCGGCGAGAGCCCTCAGAGGCCGAAAACGGTACCCGACGCCTTACCGCACAACCTCGTGGTGCACTGGTCTGCAGTGCCTGAGGCCGCCTGCGCACTCCTCGCACAGAAGAATCGCTGCGCCCGAGGCCTCCCCTCGCGTTCCTCCTCCGCGGCCGCCCTCATCTTCCCCTAGTCGCATGTGTGTGTGCCCCTCGTGCCAGCACGGCCCGCCAGCGATCCGAACGCATTGGCGCGTCTCCTTCCTTCCCTCCCGCTGCCCTCCCCTCCTCCCATGCCTGCCTCTGCCCTCCGCACAACCATTTCGGCACGATGCCAGCACACCTCTCACGCGTTTCGTGTCCCCATAGGGAGCTCCTCCGAAGGCCCCATTGGGAGGGTCCGCGTGCGTCTCCCCGCCATACTTCGGCACACCCCGCACACGTTTCGTGGCCCCATAGGGAGCTCCACCGAAGGCCCCAGTGGGAGGGTTCAGATGCGTCTCCTCCACCGAGTACAGCGCTTCGTAGCCCCATACGGAGCTCCACTGAAGGCTGCACTGAAGGCTCCAGTGGCCGTGGCCGGGTGCACCGAAGGCTTCATTGGCGACGTTCGCATGTGGACCCCAGGCCCACTTCGGCGCGTCCCTCACACGTTTCGTGGCCCCATAGGGAGCTCCACCAAAGGCCCCAATGGAACAGTTCGCATGCGCTTCCCACCACCACCACCACCACCACCACCACCACCATTACAGCACACCCATCACGCGTTTCGTGGCCCTATAGGGTGCTCCACCGAAAGCGGTAGCCACCACGCGCTATGCACAGCTGCATTTGGTTGGGTCCTTCTCCAGGATCGCTCTGCCACGCCATATTGGACAGAGCCGGGTGATTGTTTGGCAGCAGCGAGGGCGGACGGAGAATTGCCTTCAAAACGAGGACCCAGCACGACAGGATGGTTCCTCTAAGCCCCTGGAGCCCCTTGAGCCCCTGACCCCGTTGTCCTACCACTTTTTGAGCCGGATCGATCTATGAGGGTCCCAGGGCCCGAAACCGGGCGACAACGCCCGCTGTGAAAAATGAAGGGGCCCTGGGACACCCAAATCAATAGGCACAAATAACAGGATTCCCCATATGTTCCAATATTTTCTGGGTTCCTGTCTTCCTCCCCACTTCCCATACTTGGGATCGACGAGGAATTGTGCCTGGGTGCTTTCTTGTCCCTCCTGAAAAAAGGAAGAAACAAACAAAAAAACAAAAAACAAAAAACAAACAAAACAACAAAAAAAAAAAAACAAAAAACGCGAGAGGATCTGGGCAGCTGGCGCCCCCCCGATCCACTGGCCCGTGCCCCGGGGCCTCTGGCGGGCGCCGCCAGGGCCGCCCACAGCAGGGCCGCCGCCGCCCGCCATGGCGAGCGCGGCCGCCCGCCGCCCGCGCCCCGCGGCATCCACGAGGGCCCGCCGGCGCAGGGCGTGGCGGCCGCTGGCGGATGGAGCCCTCGGCGAGGGACGCGGGGGGGGGGGGGGGCCGAGATTCGGGGCGGAGCCGTACACGAACCCTGCCGCTGGGGCCGTCGGTGGAGCCCCCCCGTGGGGCCACGAAACGTGTGGGGGGTGAGCCGAGATTCGGGGTGGAGCCGTACACGAACCCTGCCGCTGGGGCCTTCGGTGGAGCCCCCCCGTGGGGCCACGAGACGTGTGGGGGGTGTGCCGAGATTCGGGGTGGAGCCGTACACGAACCCTGCCGCTGGGGCCTTCGGTGGAGCCCCCCCGTGGGGCCACGAGACGTGTGAGGGGTGTGCCGAGATTCGGGGTGGAGCCGGATAAGAACCCTGCCGCTGGGGCCGTCGGTGGAGCCCCCCCGTGGGGCCACGAAACGTGTGAGGGGTAGGCAGACCTTCGATGCTCGTTTGGGGGACCCTCCTGGAGCCCACCTAATGGATCCGTGCGACTCCAGTTCGGCTCCCGCTAGGCTCAAGTTCGACTCAAGTTCGACTCGGGATCGACTCAGGTTCGACTCAGGTTCGACTCTAGTTCGACTCGAGTCGACGGACGTTCGACGCAGCTTCGACGCACGAGTGGAGCGAGCGGCTCCAGAAGGCCCCCAGCCCCCAAAATAAGCATCGAACAGACCCTTCCCTCACGGTGAGAGCATCGGGCAAGAAATCGTTGGATGAGGAATCTAGACTTCGAGTAGAGGATCGACTACATAATGGATTGACCTAAAAACTGATATCATCGTCGAGTCATACGTAGAGTGTTCGTAGATCCACAAACCTTATACGCATGTCTGATGGATTCGACGAACAGATCAATGTGTGGAAAAACTTATGTAGTCGATCCCCTACTCGAAGGGTCTGGAAGCCGGTGGAACTCCAGTCGAGGATTGGCCATCGATATCACTGCCGCCCTCGTGTGAGGGGTGTGCCGAATGGGGGTGGAACAGCATGCGAACCCTGCCACTGAGGCTTCGGTAGAGCTCCCTATCTGGGGCCACGAAACGTGTAAGGGTGTGACGAAATGTGGATGGAATCGCATGCGAACCCTACCACTGGGGCCTTGGGCGGAACTCCCTATAGGGCCACGAAACGCGTGAGGGGTGTGCCGCAATTAGGAGCGAAACCGCATGCGAACCCTGCAACTGGGGCCTTCGGTTGAGCTCCCTATGTGGCCACGAAACGTGTGAGGGGGTGCCGACATTCGGCTGGAACCGCATACGAACCCTGCCACTGGGGCCTTCGGTGGAGCTCCCTATCCGGGGCCACGAAACGTGTGAGGGGTGTGCCGAAATCCGGGTGGAACCGTATACGAACCCTGCCACTGGGGCTTTCGGTGGAACTCCCCATGGGGCCACGAAACGTGTGAGGAGTGTGCCGCAATTAGGGTGGAAACGCATACGAACCCTGCCACTGGGACCTTCGGCGGAGCTCTCCATAGGGCCACGAAACGTGTGAGGGGTGTGCCGAAATTCGGGGTGGAACCGCATGCGAACCCTGCCACTGGGGCCTTCGATGGAGCTCCCCGTGGGGCCATGTGAAGGGTGTGCCGAAATTCGGGGTGGAACCGCATGCGAACCCTGCCACTGGGGCCTTCGGCGGAGCTCCCTATGGGGCCACGAAGCGTGTGAGGGGTGCAAGGGCGGGGAGGAGGGGGAGGAGGAAGGAAGGAAGGAGTGACGCGGGGCGCTGGCTCTTCAAAACGAGGGCCCAACACCACAGGATGCTTGGGAAAACGCTGATGTGCACATGGCCGTGCTCCCACCCCTGCCTTGGTTGCCTCCTTCCCAGGAATCCCTGGGAGCACCCAGGAATGCACGCTTGCACTGGCCGACCTCCTGCGCCTCGACCCGGCTCTTCACCACTGCTGCTGGTGGGGCGCTTTGCTGGGGCAACGATGTCCAGGCCCCGACGACGACAACGATAAGAACAACGATCGCAACGATCACAACGACAACGATAACGATAGCGGTAACAACGATAACAACGGCAACGATGACAGCGATAACGACGACAACGACAACGTTATCGTTGCTATGTGTTGCTATCGTTGTTATCGCTATCGTAAACGCTGTCATCGTTGCTTCCCCTGCTCCGGACACGCGCCATCATTCGGAGGCGCGCCGAGGGGGAGGAGCGGGAGAGAGAGAGGGGGGGCGGCGGCCCCTCCCCCCCCCAAAAAAAGGTGGCGTGGCTCCTCGGAGGCCCTGCGGGCCTTCCGAGGGTACCTCCCTGCTGCGCCGCCGGCGCGCGCCCATGTGTCCGCGGCCGCAGGACCGAGCCCTGGGGCCTCGGGGAGCAGCGCAGGGGAGGCCAGTCCACACGAAGGCTTCCACAGGAAACCCAGCCCTGAGACCCCAGGACGTCCACTGATTTTTGGTGTGGGGATGGCACGCTTGCCATGAAAAAAACATCGAAACCCGAGAAACCCAACGCACCCTGGAGGCAAGCAAGGTTCTTGGCATGGGTCTCCGCTGTAGATGTGGAATCTGCCCGCCCACGCGGGCGCGCAGATATCCGCGTCCACCACTCCTTGAGATCCCAGGCCACGACCCCGCTTCGGTGGACCTGCGGCTTCGGAGAAGGCTTAGGAAGCTTCTCGAAAGGCAAGAGACCGCTGAGCCTTCCGAGAAGGCCCGCCCCCTCTGACTCTCCCCCCGGGCGCACCAGCGACTCCCCATGTCGGGCACGCACGTGGACAACGGATCCATGGATCTGGCGTGACACATGAAGCCTGGCCGCCCAGCGTGGCGTCGGAGCGCGTCGATTTGAAAATGGAAACGGGACCCGTCGCTGATCCACGCGCCCTAAGCCATGTGTGCGCCTCCTCGACATTCGCGCAAACCTGATAGATCCTCTGATTGCATCTTCCCTCCCTCATCCCGTCCGCCACCATGCCGCTGGGCACGGAATGGGCGTGGCCTCAGGTCCTTCGCCGAATCCCGTAAACCTCAGTCCTCACTCCTGAAGGGTCTTCAAGGGGCACCGAGCCCAAATTGCCAAATGTTGCAGGAATCGGCGCGTCCTGTCGGGAGCTTGCCGCGTCTTCTCGCGACTTTGTCGGGCCCAAGAGGGCCACAAGAAGGGGCAAGCGAACCCCAAGAGGCCTCCCAGACACCCCAAGAGAGCCCCAAGAGCCTTTCCCAGAAGGCCCCGAGAGGCCATAGTCTTTGATGGGCAATCGGTGTTTCAATGAGTTTGGGGTCCCCGACGTTTCAAGCTCCCGACGCTCCAAGACGGCCCAAGACGGGACCGCCCCAAGACGGCCCAAGAGCCCACCAGGATGGCCCAGCCGCGGCCCAAGAGGTCTCCAAGACGGCCCGGCCCCAGAGGCCCCTAGGAGGCCCCAAAACGGCCCCCCAAAAAGCCCCAAAACGGCCCCCGAGAAGCCCCGAAAACGCCTCGAGAAGACTCAGAACGGCCCCCCAAGAGGCCCCAAAACGGCCCCCGAGAAGCCCCCGAGAGGCCTCCCGCGATATCCCAAAGAACATCCTAGAGAACTATGACCCACAACATAGGTACGGTGGCGGGATGGGCTGAAGGCCATTCAGTATCCTCTGGTTCCATCGTCCCTCCCTCCCACTGGCCACCCTGCTCATTCCCCTCCTCTTCCTCCTCACTGGGTTTTCCCTGGCAGATGACGAGACCTTAGGCTGATGATGATTCTTGCAGCGGCAGCTGCGTACACGCTCATGGCCGCCCTGGTCCGTGCAGCAAGAGAGGGTGAGACTCTAAAGAGTTGTTCTCTGGCCCACCAAAGCTGTTTCAGACATTCGAAGTGACCCCTCTGTACGAGGATGCGCTGGTCGCCGAACTGAGCACGGCCGGTCGGGCATCTTGGCCCCTCTGAACGAGGGCAGGTGAAGCACTTTCACCAGGTCTGAAACTAAACTGTATATAAATACGTGCTGGCCTCCTTGTGACAACGCCGCAGAGCATCCTCTTAAACATTTCGGGAACTGCCAGCGTCCCTCTTCCAGAGAGCACTGGACTTTTGCAATGTTGGATGCCCGCCGCTCGTTGTTCCTTATCTACTCGGAGGCACGACGGAGCAGCAGAAGCGACAGCGGAGGCCCCCGATGGCTCCGCAGCTTCGGGGGCAGGAGAAAACCCTCCAACGCTGAAAGAGAGGCTGGTCTCCACAGGCCTGTCTTCGGTAAGGCACGCCTCTCTTCGGGGGGGGGGGGGGGGGCAGGAGCGGGGAGGGAGGAAGGACGGGTGCCGAATGGGAGCTGGGACATCAAGAAAATTCTGGAACTCTGGAACCACGGGGCAGTCTCGCAGGCCCGCGAGCGCCCAGGCCGCCCAGACTCAGCGCCTGCTCGACGGCATGAAGGGAGCCAACCCAGCACTGCCTCGCACGTCATAGCCGCCGCCGGGGGTGGAGAGTGTTGAAAACACGCCAGCGCCTCGGGAAGGACAAACACATAGCTATGCTCATACCCCTTCTCCCCACCACCCCCTGATCCCTCCTCCTCCTCCTGGGAGGAAGGGAGGGGGAGGGAGAAGTGAGCATCCACTGTTCGAAAGAAGTGCATAGAAATAGATGTAGGAAGACGTTGAACGTAGATCGGGCTTCCGCCCACCCCCTGACGAGGAAGGAAAAGGGAAAACCACTCGACGCTCGAAATGCGACGGCGCCAGAAGTAGATTGGAGCCTTGGGATCCATCAGCATCTACTTTCAACGAACGATGGGTACGCGTGATTGCGTGTGTCCCTCCGCCTGGACCCCCAGTGGGGCCCGCGCATGCGGGGCCGACGCCTTGATGGGGTACCTGGCCGCACTGATGGGCCAGCACGGCCAGCTGGTGGCAGAGAGACTCCAGGCGCAGCGCCAGGTTCTCGGTCTGGCCCTTCACCATTACGCCTGGCGCGGAGAGGAAGGCCGGGTGCTCGTCGCCTTGGCGTGGGGGGTAGGGGAAGGGGCGGAGGGGAGGAGAATGGGGAGGAGCGGGAAAGGCAGTCGCCCTGGTGCACTCTGCCTTTCCCGTGCTCTGTCGCGT